TTTTTTTTTTTTTTTTAACTTTTTTATTAATATTGGAAAGAGGAAGGGAGAGGGAGAGAGAGATAGAAACATCAGTGATGAGAGACTCATCGATTGGCTGCCTCTTGCACACCCCCAACTAGGGAATGAGCCAGAAACCCAGGCATGTGTCCTGACTGGGAATCGAACCATAATCTCCTGGTTCAAAGAGCGATTCTCAACCACTGAGCCACACTGGCTGGGCAAGGCCTTTACTCTTGTTCTTTCTTTTAGATACTTTTCTCCCAGTTAACCATATGATCCCTCTTTCTCTTTCTCCAAGTGTCTGTTCAAATGTCACCTCATCAGCCTAAAACAGCCCCACCCCTACCCCTCCCTAGCCCACCCTGCTTTGTTTTTCATCCTGAGTTTATCAAGACCTGACATTGCAAACATGCTCATCTACACATTGGTTTACTGTCTAGAGCCTAAGCTCCATGGGAGCAGGGGCATCCATTCACTGCTCCATATCTGGGATCTAGATAGGGCTGGCACACAGCAGCTGCTCCTTGCATTTTCAGTGAGTGAATAAATGTCTACAAGAAACTCCCAGGCTCGAGGTGGCTCCTGGCAGGACGTCGTTGGCCACAGAGGTGTGCCTTTTCCTCCAGGGAGGGGCCCAGCACTCCTCTCACTCTTCAATGACATCAATGAGATGCAGGCCGGAAGCTGACAGCTTTGCTGACAGCAGTGTAGACAGAATCCGGGCTCATGAGCGGTTAACTTGTTCTTTTCTTCCAGACTGTTCGGTTTGGTCTTGCACATTTCAGTCATGCACTTACATTCCAGTGCTACGTGTTTATTCATTCACTCACCAAACACTATTTGAGCACCCACTGTGTGTTTGATGGTACTTTCTTAAAAAAAATGGTTTTTAGGGAGAGAGAATGGGAGAGAGAGAGAAAGAGAAACATCGACTGGTTGCCTCCCGGATGCTCCCTGACCAGGGATCAAACCGGCAACCTAGGTATGTGTAACCTTTTGGTGTATGGGACGACCAGCTGAGTCACCCGGCCATGGCTTGATAGTACTTTCATGTGTCCCTGTTCTCCCCAATGCCTGGGAGATCTCAGAAGACGAGCTGGGCTGGGTGTCGACTCTTGCCTTGTCACTCTGATATCTCCCAAGGGTCCCACATCTCCTCACTGTTCCCCGAGCCCCTCCCTATACTGGCTTTGTATGTGTCCCCACCAGGTTTTGTCCATGTCCTGACAGTACTAGCCCTGAGCCGGATCTTCCTCCAGCTACGCCCAGACCAGGGCAGAGCAGAACTGTCTGCGGCCCTGCCTGGGACACTGCCAACATTGTTTTCCTGTTGATGCAGCCCAGGTCTGCGTTGGCAGCTTTGGCAGCCAGATCCCACTGTGAAGTCACACTTAACTCATTGTCAAATTAAACCTTTGAAATCTCAACAGCTGTCAAACCATTTCTTCCCTCTATGCCCCACCTCCAACATTACCAGCCACGCCCCAGCCCCAGCACTTGAGCAATGGGTTCCTGAGTCTATGTGAATCTAACCCCACTTGGGTTTATCAGACGTGCTGGGCTGTCTTTTCAGCAGCAGCGAGCTCCAGTGGACAGAGGCACAACCCCACCTAGTTTCCAGCGCAGCAGGGCTGGGAAGGGGAGAACCAAGCCACCGCGCACAATCCGAATTCCTTTGTCCAGTCTCAACCTCTACCCAGGTGACAATGTCCTTGAGGCTTCCTGAAGGTTGCCCCTGCCCCGTTTCTTTTGTTTCTTGCCCCCCCGTGCATCTCCAGCCCCATCACCTCATCCAGAATCAGCGGCTGAAAGGGCAAAACCAGGAGCAGAACCTGTTCATGCAGGGTCTGTAGGATGCCTCAGGTAGCCTAATGTCCTCACCCATGGGATCCCCCAGTACTCACAGGGAACCTCCTTCTCCCCAGGGCAGCTGAAGGCAAAGCTGAGAAGGGGCAAGACCTGGACCACTCTAAGCCCAACACTCCTTGGATTTGGCTGTGGTGGGGCCCAGGGGCTGTTGTCTAGAAAAAGTTCCACATTCTGGAAACATCAAGAGCCCACAGCAGGCCAAAGACTGGGGGCTGAGTGCCAGCTAGGCTGGAGCAGAGCCCTCCCCAGCCTCCTCCCCCTGCCTCCCATGCAGTTCACACCTGCCTGGGGCCCAGAGGACTCAGGTGTAGACAGCCCTCCAGTATAGCAGTACTGGGCAGAGGGGGGAGTGGGTGGGCCAGGGGGCCACATCAAAGGCACCCAGGCTATCCCAGACTCCTCACTAAGGCCTCGAGGGCCTTGCTCAGCCCTACCCCAACCTGGAACTGCCAAGCCCACATGCCCAGGCCTCCTCAGCCCCAGCCTGGATTAAAGGGCACCTCCTCCATGAAGCCACCAATGACTCCCCAAGCCTAATGAGAACTCACCTTCCTCTGAGCTGTCCTCTCTGAGGGCTCCCATCCCTGTATGCTACCACATACTAGTGTGTGACTGTGCACCACTGCTTGCCACTTAAGACACATCTTCAGCAGCTGCTGATGCACCTTGAGACCAGAGTTAGCCTGGGTGCCTGGCACAAAGTAGGGGGGGCTCGAAATGCATGACTGATAAGTGTGTCAATCAATAAATGTGTGTGATGAGAAAAGAAGGAAGGAAAGCAAGACTGGTATGTGACATAGTAAGTATGCATGTGGTTGTCAACTCTGGTTCCTGGCACAAGGGCTCATAAAACTTGGTAATTTCCTGGGTGATAGGTGAGAAGGGCATCTTTTGTTATTCATAATAAGCCCCTTTCAACCATACCTGACAGGGCTTTGGGGGTCCACCTAGCCCAGGCTAATTCTCGAAGAACAAGTGGGAATTTGCCCCCAAAAGATGCAAGAGGGCATGCCAGGCAGAGGGCACCCAGGCAGAGGCAAGGAGGCAGGAGGTGGCATGGTGCTGTGGGGAATTTGCAAGTAGCCCTTTTTGATTTAACAGCCTGCCCTCGAGCTGCCTGCCTCCCACAGGTGAGTCAAGGTCTGGGGCTCTGCCATCAGCCCCACCCCTAGAGAATCTAGAAGAGAAATATTGACACAAACCACCCCCTATCCAGACAGGAGATGACATTAGCGTTGATGGCATGTGGGTACCAGCATATGGCTCCGTCTGTCATGTTAGGGAACACAAGTGACTGCCATGTAATGAGATGCTCAACACGCTGCTGCGGCCACACAGTGGGCCACCGCCCACTCACCATATCTGCTGTTAAACAGGATCTGCACGCACTCCCGGAGCGTGTTGATGTCCTCGGTTTCCTTTATGAAGGCGTCCCACTTCTCTATCAAAACACAGGAGGTACAAGTGAGGGCCAGTCAAAGACACGACCCCACGGCCCGGCTACCTGGTGATGAGACGCACTTATCCTGGCTGGTGCTGTGCCCTAGAGACGGCCACACTTTCTCCATGGCCCCAGGGCCCTGGGCTTTCCCCTCCAGAGCCCCAGAGCCCAGCCTCAGCCTTTCCACTCATTTCCACCTGGGACCCTGATGCCCCAGCCTCCTCCCAGATGCAGCCCCACACAAATCCAGGATGCTCTGATGGTCTCCCCACCTGCTTTCTCCTCTTGCCCCTATGGGCAGCGGATACTGGGCAGGCTCAGCCTGCCCATCCTGGGCTCCTCCTGCGCCAGACAGGTAGGAGGTTGGGAGAAGGTTCCTTCCAAGTAAAGAAAGGCTGAGTCCTGACCTCAAAGACCTAACCCTCATGCCTCATACATCTGGGGTCTCATCCAGCCTCGGCCTTGTCGGCTTCCCCCAAAACCTCAACCCTGCTGGCCTCTTGTATGAAACCAAAGCCCCTGCCTCAATTTAATATAACAAGGGTGATCGTTTGTCATCATAATTACAAAGCAACATCTTTAAGTTATTAAGTGCTTATCTGTGCTAAGTACTTTTTATATATATATATATATATATATATATATA